CAATTCTACTACGTGAAAACAGGCAACGAACCAACTGGTGTTGTTATTAGGATGACTAACAAGGTTACTCAAAAAAGATGATATTCACTTGTCAGCTATTGGTATATTTTCATTTGATTGTTGCGGCAGAACACTAAAGTATTTGCTAGCGGGATTATTTTCCTGTGGAAATGAATAACAGCTGAGGTAAAATATAAAAAAACCCATTACAGTGAAATAAGCATAGATCTTGGGCAGTGTGGTAGAGTATAATTCCATTGTGGATAAAATTAATTTTGATAAAGTCTCGCTGTGCTATACAGTAATATTTACTGATGACCACGTTTCGAGAACAATTTATTACTGCCCATAATCATATCAAGTAGCTCACACAACTTTCGAACTTCGTTTATATGGTTCCACTATTTCTCATCTCTTGATTTGATTGGTAGTACTAGTATTTTCCATATCTCTGGTATTCATGATGAGTCACTTCTATTGCATATGTTGGATGTAGATTCGATGAACAAAGATTCGGTAACCGAACTCTCTCTCCACCTAACTATATTACTTCTTAGAATTTTGACCCTATCGCACCCTATTGTTTGGTTGTGTGTTAATGCATGCAGTGCGATTGCTGAGCTTTTTTCTAAATTACTTATCTTCGTCGGATCAGTCATTCTAACCTTAGCTAAATTCTTATGTTCCGATAATCTGACTACCCCCTATCTACTAGTTTGACCTATGTAGTTGACCACATTCACAGTCATTGCCACGTATTTTGTAAATTATATTATTTTGTCTAATTCGGTTGACTGGGTCCTTTAACCTACAGAGCTTGTCTCTGAGTGAGTTTGTAGGTTTAAATACCACCCTAATTCCTGCTTTATTGAGAATCCTGCGTAGAGTCTCAAATGTCCCCTCCTTATATGGTAAGACTGTACTCGAAAAGTCATCAGTAAATATTACTGTATAACACTGTGAGACTTTATCAAAATAAATTTTACCCATAGTGGAGCCATTACATTGAAATTGAAATGATTCGTATTCTGCTCTTTCTACTTTCATTCCATGCTACCTAAATTATTTCGCAAGGATCTTTCATTTCTCCTGTTTGTTACAATTGGAGATTCTTGAAGGAGACATCACATACTATGAATACATTCTTGTCAGTAGCATAAGTTTCAGTACCTCATGATAAAGATGCATGAAAATGATCAGCAAAACCTGAAGTGCATGATATAACTCACTATATGTATCGATCAACAAATGATGTGGGAGTCTATAGCATGCGTTTTGCTATTGAATCAAAGAGAGCAGTCAGAAATTAAGAAAATCAACAATCTAGCATGGTGTAACCTTGCGTAACTGCTAAAATTCACGTTTACTAAAAATCTCATTCATTCTCGCATGTGTGTGCAGTTTTAGCCAACGATGGCTAGGTAAAATAAACAGGAAAACATCAGAAAACTGAAATCTTCAGCAAATTCTAGTGGAAACTTACCGTCTTCTTCAGCTTCGACCTTAATTGTCTGAGATATTCACAACTTACTAGTGGTACATTTTTGGACAATAACAACGATTTGTCTTCTATCGACGTGGAGGTTACAAATTCCCTCACAGCAGAACACAATCGCTACTCCACTATATCAAATGCATACTAGTATTCAGAGACAGTTATTATTAAATAAAAAGACGGAATTGGTGCATTAAAAGCACCAAGAGATGTGCCAAACAAAATCACAATTTGTGCAAGAGCTGGGATACTGCACGGATCGAAGCAGATGGATGTCTTAAGCGGCCACTCCCGAGCATTTGACTTCACGTTTGATCAAAAAGACAGTTCGGAGCTATGTTCTCATGGTTGACGGTGAGCGAAACAGATTCACAGGCCATTCAATCCCTTAGGATTCTTATCACCAGTTCGGTCATAAGTGGTAGGCGTTCGCATTCACGCTTTTACTTTTGTGAGGAACATCCCCGTTGAGTGAAGGTAGTGAACGGGAATTACCTGGAACAGGCTATGAGCACGTGGCCACTTGAGAGGAGGATAGAAGTCTACCCAATGTCGGCTATCAGTAGAAGTATGACATTTGCCTGAATTAACTATAAAGTAGTATCTTGAAAAGGAGAAGAATAAAAATTCTGGTATCTTTTTAATATTAAGAAAACATCGAGGTAGTACGGATGTGTTATTCGAACGAATCTGTCATACTTTCAAATTCATCCATATGGATTTGACATGGAGAAGACGGTTATGGTACTACACACAGTTCGACATCCAATTTAATGATGATCGATAATTATTTTGATCTCAAACAAGCAGACGCTGTCAGCATAGGATTTTGGTTTCGTCGTCTGATGTCGCACTGAGTTTTCTTACATGGCTCACATTAGTAATTACTGAATGTTTGGATTATCAGCATATCTTGATTGGACGACCCTTAGGTTTTGTACAGATCCCTTTTACATCGTGCAACATTGCATGTTCGGCTAATTGATGCATCAGCTAGTGTCAGACATGCTGTAGTCACTTCAAATGACGGTGGCTTGTGATGTCTGCTTAACTCTAAGTTAACGTGAATGTTCCATCCTATCCAGGTGATGTTAGGAAAGGTGTAGCAGTTAAGACCCGAGGTGTTTTTAAGCTATCTATCTTCAGTGGTCATGTCTTAGAGTTATTTGCCAACAGAGTTTACTGCTATGCCTTGTAGTTAATTCTTAGTGGGTAGATAAAGATCCTACATCTAAAAAAAGGGATGCTTCCTGTTGTCAGACGATAACTTAGTACAAGGATAATGCTAACTCTTAGGATTGTGGTGTGGACGATCCACTAGGCCACTTTCTATTTTTAGTCATTTCACTAAATAATGTTTCTATGTAGGAATACTTAAGCCATACACACAAAAGCGAATGAGCTATTGTCACAGTAAACTGAAACTAATCTGATTTCAGTTGTTATGATGCTACACTACTGCAAAAACATTTTTCTTATGACTAATAAAGACATAATTTTCCTTGTACGACTTATTCACAATTTTTCAGGTTAATATTCTCACAAGTAAGCAGGCTTCACACCATGTAGCTTATTGATATTCTTCAATGTTATCTCTTTAAAGTAGCAGTTTATCTCATAACTTGTAGCACATTATCACTGTCTTTCCTCATCAGCTCATCTTCTCTCTCCTGAAAATGTATTTTTGCACACATTCTATTCTAAGATCTCCACGTTCTCTTTGCTGAAAGCTGACATTCTACTAAATTACTCTTTTCAGTAGAATACCCATCAGCACTTCATATGAAGTGCTGACAGGATTTACTGAACAGGATCGAGGCATCGCCTCGATTTTGTATTTATCGGTAGTTATCACTAAAACTACTCAACGCTACTGATAAATCTCTATCAGCACTTGAAAAACACAGTTCTCAGGTGAATACAGACTCATGCTAGAAGAGTACTCATTACAAACCGTAAATCCCAATCTAGTTTGGCTTATCATATGTCGCTTTATCAGGCGTACGAGTTCCCTGTAGCTAACAAACAATATTTTGTGACGATTAGGTCTTTCAACATGATGATGCTTTCAACAATTCCTTCAGCTGATTGAAAATGCCCATTAAAATTCTCAAAAGAATGAATACTGAACAAAGATAACTTCATCATCAGGTTCTACAGTTATATATACATAATAGTGAATGAATTAGTGCTACTAACAACATTAATGTTGTTTAAATAACATAGAATCAATCATAATAATATCAATGGATTACAGTTCAATAGCATCAACATAACAATGCACTGAATATCAGACTGGCAAATTAGGAAAGATAATAATACAAATTCATGAATTTAAAGTCTCCACTGAAGGCCATGGCAGCTTCGTTCCTCTCCAGTAAAAAAGAAATTTAGTAAAGACCCTCAGCCACAGAGTTAGAGCTATATGCTCAGAAGAAGTAATTGAAGATGAGCTAAGCATTGTATATGATACCTTGATTGAAAATAGCCATCCCGACAAATTTATCAAGAAACTCATGACAAAGAAAGCGAAAAAGGACTACTTACTATCTGTAGACAAAAAGCCCTAATACATACGACTGCAATTCAAGGGCGATATACCAAGTGAAATAATTACGAAGAAATCACGAAAATCAGTTCAAAGAAATTTTAATGCTGGCAAACTACACGTCATGTTTTCTAAACGATAGTTAATGATTCCTTGATTGAAAGACGAAGTACCACTTCTAATTGTGTCCACCAATTCAACTGCGCTTGTGGAGAGAGATTTATTTGCCGTTTTCGTGCTCGAGAGCATCTCTCAGTATGGCTAATCAAAGGTGTAGTAAAAATCACCAACAGTTCGATATTAGACCATCTGGTCCAAACCGGCCACAAAGCCAGCATTGAAGAATCCTTCTCTATCATCTACCGGGTACCAAATAAATTGCCGGTAACATTCAGGTATCGCATACTCCAAACAGCTGAGGCTATCTCTATTCTCCTGAAACAACCGGTGCTTTGTGTACAGAAGAAGCAAGTTCAGTGATAACTAATACTACTCTGGCCGGTGTTCAGTAGAGGCTATAAATTCATGAATTTGTATTATTATCTTTCCTAATTTGCCAGTCTGATATTCAGTGCATTGTTATGTGGATGCTATTGAACTGTAATCCATTGATATCATTATTATGATTGATTCTATGTTATTTAAACAACATTAATGTTGTTAGTAGCACTAATTCATTCACTATTATGTATGTATAACTGTAGAACCTGATGATGAAGTTATCTTTGTTCAGCAATCATTCTTTTGAAAATTCCTTCAGACGTATAAAACTAATCGTTAACCCCTAGTTTTAAGCAATAAGAAATTAAAATACTATATACAAAGAGTATTTAGAAAGACACTTACCCTTCAGGCCTTGAAATTTACTCATGAAATTTAAAAAAACTAAGCCATTGAAATGATAATATTTATTGAAGATAAGCAAAGAAACAAATAAAAAAACAATTATTTATTAGAGTTCCTTTGATAGCTGGACATCAGTTCGATTGAATCAGATCAAGAACATATCGATGGTAGAGAATAGGAAGTACTATGTTGAATTTCTTTCATGTGCAATACAAATATAATGTTTTGCTCCTTGTGAAAGTTTCGATTTTATGCATATTTCTGGTTGTATCACCTCTTTATTTCTATTCATGTGAACATCATAATCACTCTTATCATAGGTGTCTTTTCTCCTTGAAGGTGGTGGAGATGTATTTCTAGGTGCAATCATAGGTGATTTTACGGGTTCTTGCCAATTCACTTTATGTGGACTAAAAGAATTCGCTGATTTATATCGTCGAAGATTTCTACAATTTTCAAAGTTTTCATTACATGAGATATTTGAATGAGAACTAGCTTGAGTGCTTAAAGAATATTGTCTTTCTAGTTGGTCATTAGTTAAAGTTTGAAAACATTTATCTTCAGTTGTTGGAAGTTTTGACAATGAAACATATCGTATTATTTGTATTGGACGATTATCAGGTTGTCTAGAGCTTTGTGTATTTGGTGAATAGTCATTAATAGACCTTAGCACTGGTCGATTGACAGATGGATAGATAGTTGATGAACGATAGTCATTTTCATCATTATAACTTCTGTTAGATACTGGTAGCACCTTTTTACTCTCACTTAGGGAATCGTTGATTGAGCTGTCATGATTTGGAAATGATTCAATGCATATATTCCACCTCTAAGAAGGAAATAAATAGTGAAGTATTATGGACAAAAGAAATAATCGCTTACATTGCTCATTATTTCTGATTAAGTGTTCAACAGTAGTGTAGTGTGCAGTAGTGTAACTGTCCTAATTATCTAATAAACAACTTGTATATATATGGAGGTTGAAGAAACACGCACATGTGGATTACCGCAAATTAAATTTCTTTTTTAAAAAGTAACATGTGATGACATGTAAACTTGATAGTGTATTCTTTAAATGTACTATTAGTTTATCTACATATTTTTAATATTTCTTTTTATGTGATATTTCCATAGTGTGAATAAATTTCTTTTCTTCTTTCTCAATATAATTAAAAGAAGGTATCCTGTTAATTGGACTATCATTTGGCATACAATTTTGTAGGACTGTAGAATGTGGCCAGACACATCACACTTAGCATAATACCTAGTATGACATGTACTACTGAAAAGTACTTACAAGTAGTGCATTAAATGTGATGTCTTCCGAAAGAATCTTGAATAGCGGAAATGTGGATTAGGTTGTGAAGAGGAAAATTGAAAGACTTTTGTGAAACAATATAAGTAAGAAAAAGTATCAAGCGAAGACAAAAAAATGCACAATACAGAGAACAGTGTGAAAATGGAGGTTTCGATGCATAGTTTCCGAACTTTGCCATAGTAAGACATCAATTCACTGAATTAAAAAAATTCCATTACCAAATACTACTGTGTCCTTGATATAAGAACAGAACTTGTGCACTGTGGTAGAGTATAATTCCACTGTGAGTAAAATTTATTTTAATAAAGTCTTACAGTGTTATACAGTAATATTTGCTGATGACTAGCCTTAATTAGTCTAAAACCGGATAAAAACATCGTCATCACAAAGGCTGATAAAGGAAACTGCAGTAGTTTTGGATGTCTGACTATATCAAGAAAGTCACTGAACATATTGAGACGGGTCTATATGAGGAAATTAAGAAGCCTAGAGACACAATAATGAACAAGATTAAGAAATCTACAGCGGTTTTAATACGCAGAATGAAGCCGGTCACTGGGTGAGTCTCAATGGCTTAATTTAATGCCTAAAAATAATGATGCTAGTAGAATATGTGGCACTATTAAAATACATAAACCAGGTTACCCCATACGATCAACAGTAGATTTCAGGAATATCCCTAATTATGAATTATCATTCAAACTCTAGGCTAACTAATTCATATGAGATGAAAAAGAAACTAAATGACATTCAACCACAGAATAATAAAACAATGGTTAGTTTTGATATAACTAGTCCTTACACTAATATACCAATCAATATAACCTTAGAAGCAGTTCAAAGAGAACTAACTGCACATCCTGAACTCACTTATAGGACGAAGCTACCCATTGAGGAAATTATTTTAGGAATTCAGTTATGCCTCACATCTACTATCTTTAAATTCCAAGGCAAAATATATAGACAAACAGAAGGTTTGTAATGGGATGATCACGAATATCCCTTATCGTAGTAGATATCTTCATGGACAGCTGGGAAAATATTGCTCTAAATACATTTAATCCTACTCCAAAAATATGGTGGAGATATGTGGATGACACTTTCACAGTGTTAAAAACAGAACATATCTCTAGCTTCTTGACACATATAAACTCACCAATAGGGGGAATAAAATTCACATTTGAATCGGAAAATGAGCAAGGAGAACTAGCTATGTTAGATTGAAAAATGAAACGAACAGAAGAAGGTAAACTGCACACTAGCGGCGTTTATAATAAGCCAACGCATTCTAATAGATGTTTAGACTTTAATTCACCTCATCTGTCGTTGTCTGTAAAGGCTGGCTTAGTTAAATGTCTAACAAACCGAGCAACAGCACAGAGTAGTACAAAAGAAAGACCCAAATGATGAAATAAAACAGATCGAAGAAGCGTTAGTGTCAAATGACTATCCCATAAAATTCATTGGGAAGATCAGAAAAGGTCAAAAGCGAAATAAAGATAGTGGCGAAACTAATAATGATAACATAAATAAGAGAGAATATAAGGCATGTACGGTTCTACCATTTAAGGAGGGGACATTTCAGACTCTACGCAGGATTCCTAATAAACAGGAATTAGGGTGGCATTTAAACACACAAACTCACTCACAGACAAGCTCTGTAGTTTAAGAGACCTTGTTGACCCAATTAGATAAAATAATACAATTTACAAAATACGTGGCAATGACTGTGAGTGTGGTCAACTACATAGGTCACACCAGTAGATAGGAGGTAGTCAGATTATCAGAACATAAGAATTTAGCTAAGGTTAGAATGATTGACTCTGAGAAGACAAGTAATTTAGAAAAAAACTCAGCAATCGCACTGCATGCATTAACACACAACCAAACAATAGGGTGGGATAGGGTCAAAATTCTAAGAAGTAATATAGTTAGGTGGAGAGAGAGTTCGGTTACCGAATCTTTGTTCATCGAATCTACACCCAACATATGCAATAGAAGTGACTCATCACGAATACCAGAGATATGGAAAATACTAGTACTACCAGTGAAATCAAGAGATGAGAAATAGTGGAACCATATAAATGAAGTTCGAAAGTTGTGTGAGCTACTTGATATGATTATGAGTAATAAATTGTTCTCGAAACGTGGTCATCAGTAAATATTACTGTATAGCACTGTGAGACTTTATCAAAATTAATTTTACCCACAATGGAACTACCGTGTCCTGCCATTACACTACGATAACACATATAGTATAACCTTTAAGATGAATAAACTGGAGTTAACTTGGCGTTTCTGTCTTAACAGATTGAAAATGAGGCATAGGATGAAGGCCATTTTATAATCAATTTAGGTAATATAAGCAGAAAGAATTGATTTTAACGTACTGTTCTCGTTGTGCAGTCATATCAGTGAGATGTCTGTTGATATCTGAAATGATTGAGTAAATGTTCGATTATAGTTCATAATACCTTACAGATTTTTAGAGAAAGAATTTAAAGCGAGCAGTTTGTCTTTCACGTTTACTGAATTACAGTTATTTCGTGTTAAATGGGGAGTCATTTCTTGTGGGTTCCACCGAGAGGAATATCACGACGGACACTAGCTGATGATATAATAGCAAAAAAGAAAGGTTTTGAAAAATATAGAAGATAGAATTTCAGTGCAGTCTACTAACAGTAATTTTATTCATTGAACACAAATTTCTATATAAGATTTTCACAATTTTTCGCAGTTTTGTTTTCAGCTTTTATAAAAGTGTTGGAAGAGACATGTCAGAAATACCTGAACAACTCAAATACAGTTTGATTCATTGAATTTGTGCTGTTACAATCGTTTTCCAAATAGGCACGACTACATGATAGTGGAAGCATAGTATCCTTCAACGTCAAGATGTTATATTCTTCAGTCACAGATCTGCGTCATTAAACATATTTTCAATTCCACAGTCAAACATACAAACAGATAAAACGAAAACCAATGTGATTACTCGTCTGCCAACTAATTGATAAATCTGATATACAAAGACTGAAATCAAACCAAAATTCTGAATAGGTTACGTGGACAACAAAATTTGTCACAATTAGGAATGATTTGGAAAACAGTGGCGAATTAATCAACAATGTATTTGAAGACATCAAATTCACAAACGAAGGAGTATCAGGAGACAGATTTCCTTCTTTAAATATCTTCGTCACAAGAACTAACATAGGAGATCTGGAAACACAAATATGTAGGAAGTCAACTCACACAGATCAAATACTCAATATAACAGCAAAAGTCAAAGGGCACACAAAAGAAGCTGAATACAGGCATCAGGGCACACTACAGCGTCCCAGTCCTGAAGGGATTAGAAGAGGAATATCTACCAACCAATTTCAAGAAAAATGGATACCCCTGTGAATTCACCAAAAGATGTCTACACTCGGATGAAACTACCAGCAATAAGCCATCCCTGAAACCACAATAAAATTCATCTTACCTCATATTAAGTGTGTCGGTGGTTCAGTGGTCGAACGCCAACCAACCACACAAGTGGTCCGACGTTCGATCTCCGGTCGACGTAAACCTCACTAAACTGGTAGTAAGCCCAGTAAAGAAGGAAAGCCGGGTGTGAGGCTAGTACCCAGGCTGTAGAAACAGAACCACTGCTACTGAAAATTCTAAGCACGAGCCTGAGGCCTTATTTTCCACTCGGAACGTGAAAGGATTAAATATTACTTATATTTATGCATATACATATATATTTGAAGAATGTTTCTTAAGTAACATAATTTATTAATTCCCATCGCGACCCTAGGAACACAATATTCAGCGAAGAAACTCTTTTGAATGAATTTGTTATTAAGCTGTACAATCGCGCATAAATGCTTTTTAAAAAATTTTATCGGGTGATGGAATTGAATCGAAGGTGTGAATACATGAAATGCGATTAAAATAAATGTGACTATAATCATAGTTAAATGTCAAGTAGTAAAACAATTAGTGTCATATATAGAATAATTCATAAGGTGTACAGATACTGGAAAGCGGTGTATAATTACGGGATTGGTTGGCCAATACAAAACGTTACATAACATGGTGTCAAATTTGATAAGATAGAATTCTATATTATAAAATATTTTGGACTTAGAATGACAGGTGGTACAAGTGGAAACAATTCAAAGTGAGAGTAATAATAATAACAAAAATAATAATAATCGTAATCGTATTAGTGAGGAGAAGGTACATAGATTAACTAAACAAATAAATGTCTATCCCTCTACGGCCAAGCCAGAAGTAGGGATTGTACATACTTCTTTTGTACGCAAAGGTCTGGCTCAAATTCCTTAATGACCAAGACCTCCGATGTATTTAGAAGTTTATAACGAAGAAGACACGGCAAGTTAGCATGCATTCGATAGGTGAGGATAGAGTGACAGGAGTCGATCAAGTGTTTTGGAATAGAGCTTCGCAAACCCTTCCTTTCTCCCTTTTAAAACCGTGTTGGAATATATTCTCGAGTCCGTGTGGAAAGCATTTTATGTCTGCGACCAGTGTATCCTGCTGCCAAAGAGCAGGTGAACTGATAGATTCACTTGGAGGTTGCCAGACAGAGGGGGCTTATCTATATAG